CCCGTTGGTCGGTTAGTTGTTCAGCTCGCCGATAAGGCTCAGGTTACTCCGTTTTTTCAATTTTACTCTTTCTTCTCTGCTATTATTACTCATTCAGTTGTAGTAACTCTTTTTGTTCGAGCTAGGGTTTTGAAATTGGAGCTAGGGTTTTTTAGGGTTTGACTTAACTGAATGATTCCCTTTGAATGAGCCAAAACGTTTTTTAACCCTAGTTTTGACTGATTACTGAAACCAGACTGGAAGAGTGAAGCATTTATTTTCTTAATCGCTTGCTTGCTCATTTTTTTGGGGGAGTTATGAGTTTTTCAATCTGGGTATGCAAAATATAATGATATCACTATGGTTTTTGAATCTGTTTCTTCCTTTTGGATTTTTTTATTATATGGATGTTTGAGAATTTGAGTTTTGTAGCTGATTGAGTGTCTTTGTTAGTGACTGTGGTGTGTTTGTTGACTCTAGTCTTCTGAAAATGATTTAGCATGTGTTTGTTTTCTTGTTGTGTTCACCGCCAACACTTCTACAATATAGAAGCTACAGTCGTCTCTATATACGGGACGCTAGATAATTGGCCACAACTGCCAGAGCGCCATATCTATAAAACACAGACATTACTATTGCATATTGTTTTCTAATAAGTTTGCTGGTCTAGCTGTTAGTTTTGCTGTGATTTTAGCCTACAGAAACTGAATTCATAACTGATCTTCAGCATTTTTGCCAAAGAAAATGTATTAAAGAAACTTAGGCCAACAAAATCACTAAAATAGGTTTCGGACCGGCTCGAGCCCTCAACTTAAAAGCTACAAAGTGAACTTAATTACCATGCCAGATGCTAATTGTATGTTAGTTTCGCCTAGGCCTAGTATAGTAACATGTTCTCAATAGTGTGCTATAGTGGAATAGTGTTGCGGTGGAAGTGTTCGGCGTGATTCAAGCTGCCATCAACAATAGTGGTTGTAGTGGCCGCTAATTGCGTTCCAAACCGCTATCGCAACCGCTTTTAGGGTTTTAGGCCTAAATTTTTTGAAGCCTCTTTTAAAACCATTGTCTTTTTAAGAAGATAAATACCAAATATGACCCTTTCAAAAGTAAAACCATTGTCTTTTTTAAGAGGATAAATACCAGATATGACCCTTTCAAAAGTAGTATTATATTTTTGATTCTGTTATGTTTTTGATACTTTTGGGTTAATTCTATAATGTGTTTATTCTCTGTTTAAGTTTTCTTGCTCTATACTTTAGGTTCTCTAATTATTATGCATGAAAGTCTCTTTAATTCTGTGTACATTTCTACTTATGAGTGTTTGTGTTTACTTTACACAATGGTTTTTAGTCTTTGCAATAACGGCTATCCCGCCATAGCATTTTATGTGGTCGGTGCTACACGACACTGTTTGATATTAACAACATATAGTATATATAAGAAACTTGGGGGTGCCATGGCTTCACTTTGCCCAAATGAAGCTCTGCCACTGGCCACTGTTCCAAACATACAGGCCTAGTGTATGTTTGAAATGGAGGTATGTTTGACATAATCATGTGTTGCTATGATTTTATTGAAGCTCCAAGCTGTATTGTTTGCCAACTATGATTCCATCAAACCCACCGTTAATTCAAACATACAATTTTTATTTTCAGCTGACATTTGAACAAGTTAGGATTAGCTTAAGAGAACTTCTCAATTAATTTTTTTTTATAAATTTCACTAGTAAAATAGTCCTTGTAACTTTATGGGATTAACTCATGCTTCTTAATCAGTGGAAATGTAACTGTAGTGCTTTGTTTTGGTCATTTCGACTGTTCACTTTCACTCTGTAATGTATCTTAAACTACTATTCTTTTAAGTTTTTAAGAAGGGAAGCTATTGGAAATGATTTACTTATTGTAGTAGGCAATAGATATTATATGCATATGCTTTGTCTATATTGTCCTAGGAGGGGCATTGGGTTCAATTTGTTTTTGAAATTTCAACAGCTCAATATGCCACCAAGGTTTACTGAGAGAAATCCAGAAAGTGTGCAAATATGTATGTCAATGTCTTGGTTATCATGTTATGCAATTCTATGTTGAGATGGCTGTTTGACGGCGTGAAGTGAACAAGCATTATTGCTCTGTTGACTCAGTATAACTTTCTTGTGAAAAACCTAGTTCAGTGGGTTCAAGTTATGCTGTGATTTGAGCTAATCAAAGAAATTAAGAAATCTGCATTTTTCTTGGATCTTTCAGTTGATATTCGCGGCATAGGGTACACAACACTTTTAGAAGTACCTCCCTCTTTCTTCAGTTTCTTGATGTAGTTACTTTATGTGTAGCTGATGTGTTTTATTTACAATAAACAAAAGTGGGTTAGCTAATCAGGCTGCTCTGCAACCTGGATTATTTTTTATGATATATGCTTAAAATTTTGTTCTATTAAAATAAATTTGAATGGAGTGGGTATGGGAGACAAAGTTTGCATTTGCATCTGCACAATTACATGGAAAAGGAAGAGTTTTCTACAAAATTTATTAGAACTGAAAGCTCTCTTTTCTCGTCAGTATGTATGTATGATGCAATTTTGTGTGGGTATGGGAGGCAATTGTGCTTGTATCTGCACTTTTACTGGAAAAGAAAGAAAACTATCTGCAAAATTTATTAGAACTGAAAACTCTTTCTCATCAGTATTTATGATGCAATTGTGTGGCAGGTTTGCACTCAGAGATCATGGAAGCGCCCCTATGGAGTTGGTCTTCTGGTAGCTGGATTAGATGAATCAGGGGCTCACCTCTATTACAACTGCCCAAGCGGAAACTACTTTGAGTACCAGGCTTTTGCAATTGGTTCTCGCTCACAAGCTGCAAAGACATATTTGGAACGCAGGTTTAACAACTTCACAGCCTCCTCCCGGGAAGATCTAATCAAAGATGCACTAATTGCAACTAGGGAGTCCTTGCAAGGTGAGAAGCTCAGAAGCTCCGTATGTACCATTGCTGTGGTTGGAGTTGGTGAGCCATTCCACATTTTGGATCAGGAAACGGTTCAACAGTTGATTGATACTTTTGAGATTGTGAGGGAGGAAGAAAGTGCACCTGCTGAACCTGAGGTAGCAACTGAGCAGGATGCTGCCCCGGATCAGGCTCCTGGTGCTGATCAAGGTGGCGCTGAAAACCAAGGTGGTGCCGAACCCCAAGGTGGTTCTCCAATGGACATTTGATGATCTAAGATCCAGTACTTGAGTTGTTAAAAACTGTTATTTAAAAAATGAATAGGTTTCTTGTTGAACGTGTTACGGAAGGAGACATCTCGGTGATGGATTTTTCTTTGCTTAATCTTGTTTGTCTTTGAAATCCATCCATTGTGAACATTGTAGTAGCTGCACTACATTTGATGAACTTAAACACAGTATTTTCAATATTCTCTGTGATACAATTCTGACATTCAGGATAAAAGATGTTGGGTAAAGTGGGCTTACTCTAATGGGTTGCCAATATATCTTACTATGAAAAATGAGTATCTCTGTTTACATGTTTTCATAAACTGTATATTGTCACTGTTGATTCGGGGGAGGGATTCATTAGTGATCTAAATCGTGAGGAGTTTGAGTAGCCCTTTTTTCAAAGTAAAAAAAAAAAAACATTATAGCTAATTTGGCTAATCCAGTGTTTTTAATCCTAATTATGAAAAGTGAATTGAATTAACTCGTGAAACATTAAGACTTTCAAAATGATTGTGTTAACATTATTAAATTAAATCTCTTTTTATCATCAACTCATACAACTATAACTTTACATAACCCAATTAGCTAGAAGCATTTATCTTTCAATTTTACATGCTTTTATTGGTGATGCAAATCCAACATTGGAATAAGCATTGGTAAAGACATGACTTGAAAAGGAAGAAAGCAAAGGAAACAACAAATTTCCCCATGAATAGCTTTTTTCATTTGGATGTATCAGACGTGAAAAGACCCTTTATCTGCATGTGCTTGTACATCCACTACCAACTATCTAATGTCACTTCACCAAGAGAACAAATAACAGACCCACCACTACATGTGTCCACTTCGCAGCATTCTATAAAAGTGATATAGACCTTTGATCATTCCATACAAAAACCCGGCTCCTTTATCATCAACTGACTGATAGGATCAATCTAGTATTACTGAGGAGTTTAATGGTAAATTGACATAGAAGAGAGGGATGAAGACTGTTAAATTGATTTTGGCATAACACATAATCAAAGTGGTTCTAAATTCTAATGTGGATTAAAGTGTATAAAAAAGTGATAAAAATGGCACTTCAAGTTCTTCAATGGATAACTTCCAATTTCTAGTTTGTCTTCTGGTACCCTGCACGTTCCTTCTTTTTATTCAACTTGCCAATTTCTCTCTGCTCACACATACCCCACCTATCACACTCGGAACCTATGATTGCCTTTGCCATGCATCCATGAGGAACAATGTTATTACAGCCCATTGACAATATTTAGCTAGAAATGCCCCAGCAACTACTGAATCAGCATTAAATGTGATAACAAGACTAAGGGTTAATAGGTGCAACTTTGTTCAGATACCTCCCAAAATTTAAGGCCTCTCCTGTCTATATGCCTCACCTCACAATTCCAGCATATGTGTAGCAGACATTGTGGTGAATTCACTTGGGACAGTTCTCACCTTTCACTTTATCATAAAGCAATCATTCAAGTAACTAATGGCCAAAATAATGTCTCAAACATAAATATCATTGAATACTCAAACATTCATGTGAAACTCACATGCATTGGATACATCAAACATTAAAGATCCACACACACGAAAGGTACTTTCCTTTTCCAAAGAAGATAGCTTGAAATATTATGGAACAATTGATTCCTTGATCTGAAAAGGAGTCATACCCTAGCCCGGGACATGTTTGTTATTATTGGGAAGAAAAAACAATCCCTCTTCTATGAATTTGAACAAAACAAGTATATTGCTTGATGTCATTTTTTCAATATTGAAATTGAAGATGCTTTTCTTTAAACATCTCATTGTGTGGAAACCTTTGCTTGTTTATCAGGTAGGACATTGCCTGGAAGAATGAGTTCTGGTGGGATCTCACGAACAACGCCCAGCATTGAGTCATACTCTTCGTCTTTCCGCGCAAACTTCTTTCGGAGAGCCTTCTCAAACTCAATTTCATCATAAGCCTTGGCATTTTCAGCTGCATGGACCTGTGCAAGGTTACTGTAATTGATAGCTGACTGGGTGATAAATGATATCTCTTCAGCAGTGAGCTTCCTAAGGAATTTCGCTGGATTCCCTGCCCAAACCTGCAAGTATAGGCAATTTCGTGGTTACAGATCATTGATGATACGCATAACAAGTATAAACAGCATACAAGAATAGTGGTGTAGTTTGGCGTAGTTAACTAAAAGCTCAATACGCAGTCTATACAAAAATTCTAAGTAACATTAAGTAGGTATGACTTTTCCGTTAATGATAAATATTATTGAGCAAAAGCCGCCGTCAAATTTGAAACAAGAGAAGTGCTTATTGTTGCAAACTCCTATTCTATGAATCAGTTCACAGGGGCAGCAACGCAGGTATAGATGAATAGTGATAATAACAAAGTTCACAAAACACAACGCATGGTCTGAATAGTGATAATAACAAAGTTCACAAAACACAACGCATGGTCTGAATAGTGATAATAACAAAGTTCACAAAACACAACGCATGGTCTATTTTTTTGTTTCACACACCAACAAAAATCACATAGCGTTTTTTCACTAGGTGCAGTCACCTAGATGGATTGTCAACGCCGCGCCATGTATTAGGCATACTAGCTTTAAATCTCTCGATGATCAGACTCATGGTTGTCAAACTTGAGATCCCGCCTGTGATTGTTTGGGTATAGGACAATCGTAACTCGTGGGATCGTAACATAGATCGTAAGATCCCACCAAACATCCAAGGCTTTTTTAAAGAGTAATCACCAGCATCTAAAAACTATATAGAGACAGGAATGCTTGAAGACATGATCAAATCAAACGGCAAGAAATGAGAATGGTATGAAGAAACTGAAATGAGAAAAGGTGCTAGAAATGAGAAGAGCTGAATAGTCGAAAAGGATTTATAGAAGAAATTGGAATCTAGAAGCATTGAACCCGTAAAGGATTTATTGCTAGAAAATGATGGGAGAAATTCCCAAGTTGGGAAGTAATTACTCTATTAAAAATGCACCGAGTCTAAAAAATTGTCACTTTGATATGATTAGACTTATAGTTTAAATTCACTATAACACAATTCACTAGGAACCACGTAGTAAAAATGGATAGGATGCTGAGAGTTTATGGAATTTATGATAGGAATCTCATCTTATTTGAGTTCGAAACAATGGAAGAAGTTGAGCAGCGCAAGAAATGAATAACAGAATAGAAATTGAAAATACTTGATAAACAACACTTTAAGGGGTTGCAAAGTTCCTCCCTACTGATTCATTCCCGACATCAAATTTCTCTCAAATGATTGTATTTCTAATCTTGCTTTGTTTCAGGTTCAATTTTGCAAAGATGCTTTCCCTGGATCATGCATTTTCATTGAAACAAAATCATCCCGCATAATAAGGATTTCATCTTCAGCTCATAAAATAGTTTCAGTCCTGCAAATTGTCCATCCATGCTTCAAATTTTACATCTAAGGCCATTAATATGTTTTCAATGTATTTGATCATAACATGGTACTTTCTTAATCTATTTTTGCCAACATAGAAGTCTTCCAGAAACACATAATCCTATTGCATTCTTGCTCGTTACTGTTCACACTCACTCTTGTTGCTTATGTACTTTTACCTCGTACAGTATACTTGAGTAACTGATGGCCCAACACTATCTCCTTATGAGTGCATCTATCAGTGATGTCAATGGCGGATGGAGGTCCATGGCAGAGTTGAAATCCCGCCATAATATCGGCCACTTTGTGGCGCCGTTATAGCGGATTATGGTAGAAAAACCCGCAATATCGGCCAATATTTACCATTGCGGTGAGCATAATAAAACACCACGTGTATCCGTCACCATAGCACGACCATGGCTGATATTTGATAACACTGGCTTCTACATGTCGTTTCCATTAAAACCAAAGTTACAATTATATTTCATCCCAGTACCTAGATCTCTGGCATTGTAATTTGTTAATCCCAACCAAACACACATAATAACCTGAACAGGTACATACATACCTCTCCAGAGGGAATCCTTGAATTCTGTTTCACAAGGGCACCAGCAGCAACCATGGCATGTTTCTCAACAACAACACCATCAAGTAGTGTTGCACCCATACCTACAAAAGCCTCATCTTCAACAGTGCAACCATGTAAAACCGAACTATGACCTGCCAGTGTAAATTTTAATACAGGTTAAAAGAAAATGTGACATCATTCAGGATCGTGGCAAAAGTATTACTCACAGACTCACCTACAGTAACATTATCACCAATAATAGTAGGCAACACCTTGCCACTTAAATTTGACTTTGCAACGTGCACCAAGGAGTTATCCTGAATGTTGGTTCCGCTTCCAACACTAATGTTGTTCACGTCACCTAAGCATAAAGTGAAGTTCAATCATGACTATTATTCATATCTACAAAATCGAGACACTGACAAAAAAAAAAGAACACCTTTAAATTACATTAGACGATTAGAGTAATGAAACTTTGTAATGAACAGCTGTATTTTGAATGTTTTCAGAAACAGGGTGACCCCAGTAGTTAAAGAAAATGCCTTAAAACTTTTTTCCATGAATAGATCTGGTTAGTTCTTTAACTAAAGCACCAAACGATAAACCAGTCAAAAGTTTAATGTTTAAATGGTAAAGTGAAAGACCTTACCTCTCATGACACATCCATACCAAATAGACGACCCTCTGCCAATGTGAACATCACCAATTACAGAGGCACTTGGGGCAATAAATGCATCTCTATCAACAACAGGAGCCTTATCAAATACATTCATCAGAGTTCGATGCCTGGACACTAAAACAATAACAAAGAAGATTACTTGATGTTTTATAGCATAAAGTCTATTAAACCATTTTTTCCATGAGTTAAATGATGGAGAGTTATTAGCAAGAATAAATACTAATTCAAATTATAGCAGTAACATCAACAAGTGAGAACAAGGAAACATATAATAAACACTAAGAGGTCCTAGCAGGATAATGCACAAACAAATTCGTACATTACTATTGACAACCATTTCAGACTCTAATTGCATCAACCAACACTATTTCAAAGTAAACCCAAAACATTCCCAACAAAGAAGGAACTACTTACTGCATCGCTGAATTTAAGCACTGCGCGTCTGAGAATAAGATTGTGGATTGAGTAATTATGATACAGTTGAAACACTTTATGATAGAAGTCAATAGGTTTAACCTTTCAATCAAATATTCAACTCTTTAATTTCTATGATGCAACAATAAAAACACGTTCTATTTTCTGTTTTCTACCCAAGTGTCAATCTCAAGACAACATTTCATGTATTCTACTCAATGGGTTTAATGTGATTTGGACCCTTTCATTCAAACATTCAAATCTTTAATTTCTACGTTGCAAGACTAAAAATACTTTCCATCTTCTGTTTTCTACCCAAGTGTCAATAAGAATAGGTTTAATGTGATTTGGACCCTTTTATTCAAACATTAAACTCTTTAATTTCTACTATTCAATAATAACAACATTTTTAATCTTCTATTTTCTTCCCAAGGGCCATTATCAAGACAACATTTTCTGTATTCTACCTAAGTTCATAACCATAACAATGTGTGACTTTTTTCATTCTCCAAGTTGTTACATATTTCCGGCTTAAAAAGTTTGTTGCTTGCATATTTTGTTGCATATATATATATATATATATATATATATTCTTGGTTTGAATAGAATTGCAATTACATATATTATGTTTGATGATGTTTTCAAGCACATCTATATACAAACCTATCCTATGTTTTTGAAGTACAGTCATTTCATATCGCAGTTGTATCTACAATCTATATACTCATATCATATTTGTGAATCATTCCACTCTCCAACATAAATCTTCATCAAACATAGTTCACCAAGACCAGATGCTCAACAAACAACAAACGAACTTTATTCCACTAAATGAGGTCGGCAACATTGACACAATGCCATAATTTTCTACAATGAAATTGGAAGCTCGGGATTTTCTTATTATATATACGTTGATGATATGTATTGAAAAAGTATATTTGTATAAAATGTTGTGTATATAATAATGAGACCACACTAAGGTATTTTTATATTCGTATTGTATACAAAAAGGTAATAGAATAAATACAGTTGATTCTAATTGATACACATTGATGATGATTGATTCTTAACATGCATATAAAGATTACATAGAAATAGAAGACAAATGGACAACAAGTTGTGCCATTACCTTTTTGAATAGCAAAACCAATCCTCTTAAAAACTACATGCCCTAGGAGATACAACAATATTATGCTCATCGAGCAGTCCCCAATCATACTAATGGAAAAATCTCAATCAAATCTACATATGTATGTTTCCCTCCTACCCACCTGTACACCTCCTGAATAACTGTTGGTCGGTGTTAGGATTGATGGAATGTGACAGAACGGAGCGGAATGGTAAATAATGAGATTACATTATTTGGATTTGCAAATAATGGATGGAATGAAACATATGATGGATTCCATTCCATCTCATTCCATCCAATCTTCTATTTTTTGTTCCATCCAATTTGGAGTGTAAGCAATGAAATGAGATATTTTTAGTAAAATAGTCCAACAATAGAGTGAAATCTATATTCCATTCTGCTCAGCTCCATTCCATTATGTTATGTAACATTCCGCTTGACTCCATTATATTTCCATCAATCCAAATCACCTCAGGTGGATCTCTCATTATACAAAATAGGGTCTCTCATTAGTTTTCCCTATGAATTTCAACTACACCACAGCCTTACATAATTACATTAACTCTCTAGGTTACCCTAGTAATCCACTAAATGCTACAAAAAAGTTTCCCATAAATATCCTACAACTAGTTCACATTTCTTTCAATAAATTTCCCACAACAATGCAATCACAATTTATTGGTGCCCATCATTCCACTGAGCATCCAATACATAAAGCACAAGTACTAGTTAATAATTAGAACAATAATACAAAAAGATATTAGAGGATTGATCTAAGAGATTGAGAAAGGGAAGAGAGAAAATGGATCTGAGAAGAGAAGAGTGACAAACACTGTTCTTGGAAGTAGTAATTGCCCTGGAGGCGGGAACCGAGACGATCAATGGCTTGTCCAGTTTCTCGAATCCAAAATCCAACGCTGTATATAGCTCTTCCCAGGGTTCCCATTTCCGATTGAGAATTGTTTAAACAATCTGCAACAACAAACTCTCTGTGGTGGAATCGATGAAGAAGAAGGAAACACTGTAACGTTCTGTGTTGCCTGTTGTAGGCTAGTATATTCCGCTTATTAGGGAGCCCAGCTTTTTTGTTGGGTCAGTCTCTAATTATTGAAAAAAAGCTTTTTTTTTCAAATAACCAATCCATATGAATATCTTAAATTTTATTTTTAATTTCTATTAAAAAAGGTTAAATTTTAGTCTTAATTTTTTTTTTTTAAATTTTAGTTCTTACTATTTTCTAAAATTTTTAAAATAGTTTAATTATTTTTAAATTTTTAAATAACTTTTTTATATACATTTAAAATACTATAAAATGTTTCTTTATTACATTTTAGATTTATTTTAAAATAAGAAGAATTAAATGTGAATTTTTTATATTTTAAAAGATATTGATAAAAGTAATAAAAATATCGATTTAGAAATTAAATTTTGAGTTCTTTTATTTTCAAGGAATTTTTTATAATATTTTAAACATGTCTGAAAAATAATTATTTAAAAATACATATCGATTTAACAGCAGAGGTTAAAATTACATGTATAATAATTTTGTAGGGACTAAAACATGTCATATTTTTTTTATGAGGACTAAAAACAAAATTCAGTAATTTATAGGGACCAAAAACATATTAAACCCTTTTAATTATTTATTAAAGTAATCATATTTATAAAAAAAATTCACATAGAGGATTTGTCTGTTTGTGGCACATACACTTAAATTAGGCGTCAATGTTTAGGATGCATGCAATATTATCATATCAATGAAAGTGACACATGCTTTGTGAATTTAAGAGCAAACGCTAATACTCTTGACGTCATAATGCATATCGTTATTTAAAAAAAATTAATAATAAAATAATGTTTAAAAAATATTAAATTAAAAATTAGATTTTAATATTTTTCTATAAAATAGAATTATATAACGATTGAAGATAATTTTAATGACCAGCTTAATCATAACGGTCATCAATTCCACACTCTACACATTCGTTCATCATCGAGGCCTCCCACGATTTCCCTTAGGTGTTTGAGATCTTCTAGTGTTCTCTTGAGCTTGAGGTGCTTGATGTGATGTTCTTGGGATATTAGTGTTATGTAACAGATTGTTGATCATATCTCCTTAGTAGCTCGCGTTGTTGTATTGGAGTTTAGTATTAATATTCTCGTAGTTGGATTGTGCTGGTTGAGTTACGAGTGGGCGGGGTGGTTGGTTGGATTGGGACGTTAAATCATTTTGGAAACTGAACATTGATTGTTGTGGTGTTTGATAAGCATGTGTTGGTTGAGTGTTTTGGCAGTGTGATATTTGGATGCTTTTTGGCGGTTGATGTCTGGGTGTACATTGGTTTGAGGGCTATGGAAGGATGTGGTGGTATCATATGCCTCATCGGTGTTATGGTAAGATGTGGCGGCAATATATGTTTGTTGGTGGTATGGATTATGTTCTTGATTTTGTGTTTGCGTGTGCGTGAATGAACTAGTCACGAGTTTGAGTGTGTGTTTGTTGGGTTCATGTGGTTTGATAATGTTGTGGGGTTGGTTGTTGAATGTAGGCAGATTGACAATTTTGTTGGGTTGGTTGTTGGGTGTAAGTGTGTTGGGAGTCATGTTGGGTGTATGACGACGAAGCTCGTATGCATTTGTCGATTAAATAACCCAGTTAGACACAAATTGTGTTGTAATCGATCTATACCAATTCATATAATTTTGTGTTGGTTTAGATTCGTCTGACGTGATAGGTTATTTATTGCCAGTCGATGACGACGCTTTCACATTCGACTCACATCCCTAGCGAAGTCTCTTAAATCGTCAAACTTCCATTGTGCACTGACTCTAAGTTGACGCCATTGTCCAAAATACGTCGATTGATCTGGATTTATTGCTGCATGCCGAACTGCAACATGGTCACTATTGTGCATCACAATAGTAGTAAACTCGATCACTGTTTTTATAATCAAAACTACATCGTCTTCGGGGTTAACTCATGGTCGAGATCTAAATATGGCCTTCAGATAAATTGTAGAGTAAAAATATATTACTAGATTAGTAAATTGTTAATGTTAAAACTAAAATAATAAGATGATGAGTAATTTAGTTGTAATACGCAGTCTGGTTCAAGGTCATCCAAAAGATTTCGATAAACTGTTATACAATGTTTATGATATTTTTTGTAGTTCATCCTTCGAACGAACCACCATACCGAAATAGTGAAAAATAATTCTTTACAGTTATTTATAATATTAAATAAGTAAATTAAAATAATATTATAAATTTACTTTGTCGCGTATGGGAATGTGAAGTTATTCTCGTTGACGGGGCTAGTGACGACATTCTTGACCTACCCCATGCTTGGAGCAAAAAATCATAGGAATAAAATGAATAAGTATCTGTATATGTCTTTTTACACAAAGAACTATATAAATGAGTCAAAATGGCTGAACCCCAACTATATGTTCCTATTTTAGTTATATAATTAATAAAAATTTATGCGGGAGTTCAAAGATAAGACGCTTTGGAAAAAAGCTGTGAACATAGGGTAATGCGTTAAAAGAACCATCATTCCAACAATACTACGAAGAAATCAGGTTGACTAATATGGATGCATTAAGGTGGATCGATAATATTTCAGTGGGGAAATGGACTAGAAAATTTAACAATGATCAACGATGGGGCCACATGACAATAAGTATCATGGAATCAATGAACTCTATCTTTAAAGGCATCATAAACCTACTAATAAACGCGTTGGTGAGAACTACTTATTTTAGGTTAGGGTCACTGTTCGAGAAAATAGGTTCAAAATTAAGTTCAGTGTTACAATCGGGGTAATTATTTAGTTAAAATTGTATGAAATTTATTAAGGATGAAACCGCCAAAGCTAACACAGATGTGGTTACAATGTTTGATCATCGTAAAGGTTGGTTTAGTGTACATGAAACAATAAACCATAATGAGGGGAGACTAAGTGTAACACTCTAATTCTGACTTGACGTAAAATAAGAAAATTCAGTAATAAACTCAACCAATTATAGTGTTACGCATGATCCACCAATCATAAAAACCAAAACAACATAGTCTTGTGTGATATCTAGAAAATCAAAGAGTTGTCAAGCTCGAGTATCATTCATATTTGTTTGACAATAAAGGGAAGATACACTTCACCAACTTCGAATTGAAAACATATGAAGATTTAGAGGTTATGTGGAGTACTTTTTACCGTTATGCAACAATGGATTCGATTGAAGTGAATATGAAGATTGCAAGATCCGTCGGAGATATTATTAACATGTTGCAACATTCTAAACTAACCGTTTATAAACTACATGTAATGTTAAATTTATATTAATAATTATCTATGTAATGTTGAGTGCTTTAATTTAATGTCAAGTTGTTATGGTGTGTAGAGCTTGCTTATCTGTTTCTATTTTTGTTTTTTGTTTTAAAGTGTCAGAGTTATTTTTGGATATACATCTCTGAAACATATCAGATATAATTTAAGAGATGCAACTCTGAATCAGAATTAAGTATTACAAAAAATAAGTGTGTCTGAAGACACATCTCCAAATTCTAAAAACATTTTTGAATTTTCACCAAAAATTTATGAAAATGCATAAAGGTGGAAAAGGAAACTAACATTTTCGATACCTACCGTATTCCAAAAATACATTTCCAGAATTTCCCAGAAATACATTTTCGATACCTACCGTATTTATAAGTTTACTTATTTGACTTTTTTCAGCTTTACTTTTTTAGCTTTTGACGAAGATGTCTCTTCCCTTGTCTGTTTTCTATATTTCTTAGTAAAAAACTTTAATTGATTAAAAACAGATACATGAACTTTGTTTGGTAATGTTATAATCTTTACTCAATACTTGAAGAAAAAACATCTCAACTGTTAAAATATTTTGTTTGTCTAATTGAGTTATTACATTTAGAGAAAATTGCATTCACCACCTTGAAATATGCTGAAAAGGCACATACACTCCTGTATATTGTAAAAGATAATGACCTCCACTCAGTTACACAAACCTTCCCTCTACTATGTAAAATTAAAGGAAAAATTATATTCCCCGCCTTATAATGTATTTCATGTGAAATGTACTTTCGAGTAATTCTGGAGATACATTTCTGAAATAAATATAGTTATAAAATGGGAACATTTTCGGAAATACATTTATGTGTTTCCGGAAATACATTTTCGGTTTTCAAGGACATTTATATGTTTTTGCCTGGTGCGATAGAAAACTATAGGTGGGTTAAGAAATTCCTAAAAAAAATATTATTATTGGGCCAAATTCCATAACCAGCCCACAACCATTTCATTTCAAATTGACAAAAAAAACATTTCTCATTCACTATCTCTGAAGGAAAATTTTACCCTGTACCCCTACTATTATCCCTTTACCCCTACAAATTTGAAAATATTCCAAGTTTACCCTTTTTCTATTTTCACTTTTATGTTTTTTTATTTACTATTTTCACTATTCATCTTGACTCATGTGAAACTGACAAGTGTGAACTCATTTATGCGAACCGGATAACACATGATGCAAAATTCCGCTATGTGCATTTTCTTAACCGAAACTCTATGATGTATGACATTTAATTTTTATTGCTCAATAATCGGATATCTATTATGGCCTAAATCCGGTTTGTATTTGATAACCAGATAACGTAGCTTTGGTTTTCGGTTTAGACCATTAACCAATCGGATAACCTAGTTGCGCGTATTCTGATATATATATATATATATATATATATATATATATATATATATATATATATATATATATATATATATATATATATATATATATATATATATATATATATATATATATATATATATATATATATATATATATTAGTAACTGGATTTCTGTTATAGTAGTTATCCGGTGTGTTTTTTAATTTTTTTAAAAAAATTTTATGGCAAAATACTCGGTCCTT